TGTGGTGATCCTCCTCCTGCCTCAGCCTCCTGAGTGGTGGGATTATAGGTGTGCACCACGATGCCTAGCTGGAAATGTGTTCTTGATTTCATTTTTTAAGTTGTTTATTGTGACTGTACATAAATAAAAATGATTTGTATCCTACAATCTTTTTTAATGTATTTTTTTGAGACAGGGTCTCCTTAAGTCACTAAGTTGCCCAGATTGGGCTCAAATTTAATGAGCCTCCTGCCTCAGTCTCCCAGAGTGCTGGGATTACAGGCATGGGCTATAGTGCTCAGAACTATATTATATATTTTTGTATGTTGTTCAGGATGATTACTTTTCACTCAGTACAGCCCGGGCAAGGCAAAAGGTTGGACACTGTGGTCGAAAACTTGTGAGTACAGTATGTTGTAGGTTTTGTCCATTACTCAACTGACACAGTGTATTACATTGACTGAGTTTCAGATGCTAAGACAACTTGGAATTCCTGGGATTAGTTCACCTAGTCTTGAAGTATAATCCTCTCCCTCCTTCCCTCCTTCCCTCCTTCCCTCCTTTCCTCCTTCCTTCCTTTCTCCTTGCTTCTCTCCCCCATCTCTCCTTTCATGGTGGAGTGTTAGTTCTTGAACCCAGAGCTTCACCCCCAGCCCCTGGACTATAACCCTTTTTATGTGTTATTAGATGTCTAGTTTGCTAGTATTCTGTTAAGGATTTTTGTGTCTGTGTTCATAATATTGGTCTATGGTTGTCTTGTGATATATTTTCCTAGTTTTGATGTCAGTGTAATTTGGGGGAGGTTGGGACAGGGTCTCGCTATGTAGCTGAGGCTAGCCTTGAACTCATTAGGTAGCCTGGGCTGGTGATCCTCCTGCCTCAGCTTCCCAGGTGCTGGGATTACAGTTGTGCACCACTGTGCCCAGCATCCCCCCCCCCCCCGTACCAGGGATACCAGGGATTGAATTCGGGTCCTTACGCTTGCAAGGCAGGCGGCAGAACCCCTGAGCTAAATCCTGGGCCCTATACATCTTTTTAATTAGATTAGCTTTACAAGCAACTTGAGAGCTCTTTCATTAGGAAACTCTGCTTTTCAGATTACGTGACTTTATAGTCTGTCTTGAAATTGTTTGCCTGCTATTTGATAAAGATCTCTGTTTTACAGCTGGTTAATGTGTTGAATAAAGACAGCACTATGAAGCTTCATCTTTATCCAGGATAAACACATATAGGCCACAAATAGTTTTAAATAGTCTTGCTTGCTGACAAGTTAACAGTCCCACTAACATGAAGTGAATTGATTTTAAATGGATATTAAAGAAAGGGCTGTCCTGATTTCTGGATCTTTTCAGTGGCTCCCAAGAAGGTATTTAAACTCCAAGAAATGAACAGCGGAAGACCTGTCGGCAAGCACAAGCAGGGACAGTACAGTGATACACACACACACCCCCCCCCCACTGCAGAGGGAGGCATCTGGGTGCCCGGCAGGTAGATGCAGTTTCAGTGGCCTGAGCAGGAGCAAGCAGGAGCAGGGTGAGGGAAGCCCAACGAGGCTGTTAGCTGAGGTCGAGGACAGGGCCGGGTCTGAGTGGATTCTAAGGCCTGGAGAGAACTCTGGGCAGGCTGAGGAGGAGTGGGGATAGTCGCAGAAAGGCCTCTTGTGAAGGGAAGAGTTCAGGGAGTTCCACAGGACAGTGGTGGAGCTGAGGAAGTAAGCCACTTCTTTTTTTTTTTTGGTACCAGGGATCGAACTCAGGTCCTTGTGCTTGCACAGCAGACAGCAAAACCACTGAGCTAAATCCCCAGCCCATGCCACTTCTTAATTTTATATTTTCTTTTTTGTGGTAGCGGGGACTAAACTGAGCTACATCTCCAACCTTTTTAAAATTTTTTATTTTGAGATGGGGTCTCACTAAGTTGCTGAGTTGCCCAGGCTGGACTCAAACTCAAACTCCTCCTGCCTGGACCCCCTAGAGCACTGGGATTACAGGCTGTGCTACCTCCCCCATCCCCCCCCCAACAAGTTTTGAACTCAGAGCCTCGCACAGGTTAGGCAGGTGCTCTACCACCGAGCCAGGTCACCATATCTTTGTATTCTGAGACAGTGTCTTTCAGAGTCACTGAATTGCCAAAGCTGGGCTTGGACTTTCAGTTCTCCTGCCTCAGCTTCCTGAGTGCTGGGATTACAGGTATTTGCCACCATATCCATCCTAAAGCACTTTAAAAGTGAGAAAGAAGCATTTCTAGAGAAGGAAGTTGAACCACGTATCAAAGGTTTTGGGGTGAAGGCTAATTCCTACCTTCCACTTGCCCACCCGGGTTTTTCGGGAGCAGGGAAGGGCTTGTCTGTCCCTTTGTGCCTTTGCCTGCCAGATTCACTGCGGCCCAAATGGCGCACTTGGAAGGAAGAGTTTTGCAATGCTTGTTTTGCCCTGGGCAGGGTTCTGTCTTCCTGTGGGCCTTGGGAGGCTTTTATTTAGGTCCAGCGCCCAGTCTGCAGTGTCCTTGGCACTGCATAGAAGTGATTCTCAGAGCAGAAGCTATCCCTTCAGCACACTGTTTGTGAGAAGGGTTCCTTGTGTTTCCTGACACTCTCATTTATGGCTCTGTGAGGTGGGCAGGATGTGGCAGTGTCCTCTGATGACCTGTGTGTCCCCTCCTTCCGAGAGAGGAGTCTGCAGAGGTGTTAGGAGGAGGAGGAGGAGGAGGAGGCGGAGGAAGCGGAGGCTGAGGCACTGTGCTGCCAAAGCCCAGGGGTGCAGAAACAGGTTGCTCTCTGCTGAGTGCATGTCCATGCCTTGTGTGACTTCCTGTCCCCAAGCGGGAGGGACCTGCCAGGCCCCGTGTGGATCTGCTTCTGTCTTCCCATCCCTGCCTGTCTGGTGGCACAGGCTTCAGACTCAGCCAGGGTGGACACAGGCTGGGACCGAGTTCTCCATGGCTCCCGAGCACAGACAGGGCTCCCCGCCACCGTGAGTTCCTACAGGGAAACCTCCAACCACAATGGCGAGCTTCGAGCAAGGCTTAAGATACAAGCTGCTCACATTACTCTGAAGATGCGTCTCTTTAATTTTTATTAGTACATGTTCACTCACATAATGACTGCATTCATCGTGGGAGTTGGTACATGTACATAACATACCTTCATTCTTTTTAGGTCCCCTTCCCTTCCCCTTCCCCTCCCTCCACCTCTTGGTCTTCCCATTTGCAAAAGATCTGTCTCCTTGTTTCCTACTTTCTTTCATTTTGCTCTCTATTTGTACTTTAGGTTTCTTATATAAGAGAAACCATGTGATATTTAAGCTTGTGTGTCTGATTTTGGGGTTTTTAAGACAGGGTCTTGCTCTGTAATTCAGACTGGACTTCAACTCAGTATGTAGCCCATGCTGGCCTCAAACTCACAGCAATCCTCCTGCCTCAGCCTCCTGAGTACTGGGATTTTAGACATGCACCACCATGCCCAGCCTTGTGTGTCTGCTTTTGAAACATAGGTCTTTGAGATCTTTCAGGTTTTTTTTTTTTTTGGTACTGGGGATTGAACTCGGACCTTGTGCGCTTTCGAGGAAGGCGGTGGAACCACTGAGCTAAATCCTTGGCCCTGTTTTTTTTTTTTTTTTTGGTATCGGGAATAGAACTTGTGTTTTGCTTTGTTTTTTGAGATGGGGTCTCACTGTGTAGCCTAGGCTGGCTTCACACTCACAGTGATCCTCCTGCCTCAGCCTCCCAAGTGCTGGGATTTCAGGTGTTCTATACCATGCCCAGCCCTCAAATTCTATCATTTTGATAGCTGTATAATATCCTGTGTTTTGGAATTACTGCCTCCTTTCAGGCCTTTCCCTTCTCCAGACTTCTGTAACTCAGTTGATAATAAAACCAAGTTACGGAAGCTCTCTCTCTTCGTTGATTCCCAGCACGTGCGCGCACACACACACACACACACACGCACACACACACACCACAAACACACCCTGTGCTGGGGAATGAACCCAGGGAGTCCTGAGCCCCAACCCAGCCTTTTTGAATTTTTTTGCTTTGAGACAAGGTCTTGCTAAGTTCCCCAGGCTGGCCTTAAAGTTGTAGTCCTCCTGCTTCAGCCTCCTAAGTAGCTGGGATTACAGGCGTGTGTTGGCACAGCCAGCCCAGTTTTTAAATATGTCTTAATCTCTGACCTACTTTGGCCCTGACTTAATTTACCGGCTCCTCTGTCATCTAGGCCACCGCTGGTGCGTGAGTGAGTCCTTGTTGCTCCCGAGGCTGCTGCCAGGCTTACTGGGCTCAGGACCTGCACATCAGCTGCTGTCCACCCGGTATGTGCAGATGTGACCATTACTCCCATGGCACACACGGCACCCTGTGTGGCCTCCTAAAGTTTGTGGTGCCTGCGCCTGAGAGGCAGGGAGGAGCAGGGTCTCCCTGGGCCAGGGTTATCCAGAAGCCCCGCAATGGTCCTGGGCCCGGGAGGAAGCTGATGCTGACAAGAAAGACTCAAGATGGGGCTGGGGATTTAGCTCAGTGGTTATGCTGCCTGCCTCAAAAGCACAAGGACTTGAGTTCGATCCCTGATACCAAAAAAAAAAAAAAAAAAAGAAAGGCTCAAGCTATCCTCCAGCTCCCCAGCATGGCCTTGCCATCCTCCCAGAGCCTGTGCAGGAGGAGGAGACTCCATGGTGTCCAGCCCAGGCCACAGGGATTGTCCCTCAGTTGTCAGTGTGACGGGTCCTGACTTGGCCACTTGGCCACGGTTCTTCTCCAGTTCATGCTGCCCTCAGGGCAGGGCCATGGCTGGCTTGCCCAGTGCCTGGGGTCTTTGGCCCCTTTCTGGGTCTTCTCTGTAAGGTAGATGTCCCTGAGTGTGAGTCTGTGACGTCACCTTTGTAGCCCCAGGGCCTGGCGCCAGGGCTTCTTTGTTAATTGACTTTGTATTTGAGTAGGCCAGAGGGGAAAATGCAAATCCCTGTGATTCTTTACCTAGATAGTTACTGAAATTAATGTGGTATACATCCTTGCAGACTGTTCTTTTTTCCCTTTCCTCTCGTTTTGCTTTCTTCTTTTTGAGACAGGATATCACTGGGTAGTTCACCCTGGCCTTCAACTCACTGTGTAGCCCAGGCTGGCCTCAAACTGGAGGAGATCCTCCTGCCTCAGCCTCTGGGGTGCTGGGATTACTGGCATGTGCCACCATGCTCAGTTACCTTTTTCTTTCTTTTTTTTTTTTTTTGCAGTGCTGGGGATGAAACTCAGGACCTTTCATTCTGGGCAAGCACCCTAGCACTCTATACTGTTTGCCCATAGCTTTATGTTCCTATATTTCACACACACTCACACACACAATTTTATTTTATAAAACCTTGATCAAACCCTGCTTATTTAAATCTTTTTATATTTAATATATCATAATAATTTCCCTCATCAAATACTTGTTTTAGGTAGTCTCACTATGAGGTCTAGGCTGGCCTGGAGAGCTTGCTGTGTATCCCAGGCTGGCCTCAAATTTATGACCTCCCTGCCTCAGCTCCTGAGTGCTGGGATTACAGGTGCTGGCCGCCACGCCTGGCTCATGATACCCTCCTAGCCCTTGAGTTACCATAGTTAATTCTGCCCAGTATTTCACTGCGGAAGGGCTCTATGATTGAAGCTTCCCCATTTTCAGATGTGCAGCCTATTTTCTCGCTGAAATTACTAATGGTTTCTTTCTGCCAGGAACCTTTCTCCTGGGAAGAAAACAGGGTAAAGTGAGGAGTGGGTCTAAGGAAGAGGAGCCGGTAGGTAGCTCCAAGTGAGATCTCCCGAGTCTGCCCGAGGCTTGATCTTGAGGCTGGGGGCTCTGGCTTGGAGGAAGGTGGTGATGTGCTGTGTGTTCCCGCTAAGCGCTTTGTTCTCCCCACTGCAGGGCGATGGCTGCCGCAGGCAGCCCGCCGGGAGACAGCTTGGACCTGCCCTCAGCCAGCGCAGTCGGAGACTACGTGCTGCTGCTGCGGAGGCCTGGCGAGGGCGCGGGCGGAGAGAGCCTAAGCTCTGCAGAGTCCCATTCCGTCCCCTGCTCTTCTGACATAGAGCCAGGTAATGAGCCGAATTGACACAAACTACATCAAAACCCTGTGGGCCGCATGCTCAGCCCGTGCCAGCTGGTGTCTCTCAGCCGAAGGGGCATTGTCTCAGGAGACCCCACTGCCTGGCAGGGCTGGGCCAGTCTTCAAAGCAGGAGGGCGGAGCTTCCTGGAGGCCTTTCTCCTGGGCCTTTCTGATCTCTGTCCAGTGCGTTCAGAGGCGGGGACTGCCTTCTGCAGGGAGGGAGAACTGTTTTCTGTTTTCTTTTGAAACTTCAGAAAACACCAGTGCGTGCCTGTCAGGTGCTAAGGTAGTAGTAGTATCAGTGTGCTCTGCAGCTGTCTTGGAAGTTTCCTGACAGTCGGGAAGTGCTAGCCAGTCTGTTACTGAAGCCTGATGATAATTGCCCCATGCAAGTGGTGACACCTGTAGTTGTCAGCCCCTTCTCTTTGCGTTTTCACCAAATCTGGGGTCCATGAACCTAGGTTGGAAGTTCAGATCTACTACTTAGCGCTGTGTGACTTGGCACTTATTTCTTAACCTCTCTGAGTGCCAGAGTCATCCACAAAGTCTTTGGAGTTTGGATTAACTCAGGGAGTTAAACCTCCTTGCTTGCCATATATATGTTGTTTTTTATTGTTTATATGTTTTCTTTTTTTTTTTGCCATATGTGTTGTTTTTGTTGTTTTTAAGAAGTTCAGAGCTAGGCATGGTGGCGCACACCTATAATCCCAGCCCTTGGGAGGCTGAGGCAGGAGGATCACCATGAGTTCAAGGCTAGCCTAGGTGACAAAGGGAGTTCAAGACCAGCCTGAACTACAAAATGAGATCCTGTCTCACAAAACAAAAAATAAATTCAAATATGTATTTTGAAGGGGAACTCATTGGGTACTAAGAAAATTGTCTGCTTTAATGATGAATTCAGTGATAAGGTATAGGTATGAGTCAGGTTGCTGTTAGCATACACGTACCTGAGAATCAACTAGTAAAGAGAAAGGCTTATTTAACAAAAAAGAGAGAAGTTTTCACTTTAGATATTTTTGTTTTGTTTTTTAAGACAGGGGCTCCCTATGTGTATAACCCAGGGTGGCCTTGAACTTGTGGTCCTTCTGCCTCAGCCTCCTTACTGGGATTACAGGCATGTGCCACCACACTCAGTTTACCTTCACATTTAAAACCCAGTGGCCGCTTCTCTAGCCCTGCCCTTCTCTTTCTGTCAGCAGCACTGATGGCTGACTGACTTCTGCTGCTCCTGCCTTCCTCACTTTCTTGCTCTTCTTCCTCTCCTCTCCTCCTCTCCTGGCTGTGTCCCCAGATCCCCAGTGGATCCAGTTGGGGCCCTCTGTCCCCGGCTCTGTCCTAGGCTCCTGACATTTAGACTACGTGTGTCCTGATGTCATTGCTAGGTTTCTGCCAGGCTGAGGAAACCTGATGTACCCTAAACCAAACACATGATTCCTCTACCCTCCCTGACTCGTCCCCCCAAACACACTCACGCGCGCGTGTTTTGGGGCTTTCTTAGCTCAAAAAATCATTTTCATCCTTCCGTGAACTTAGCAAAAAAACAACAAAAACCCAAACCCTGGGAGTCATCCTCGGCTCCTTTCTCTCCAGTCCCATTCCCCAGCGAGCCCTGTCTGCTGTGGCACTGGAGGAATCTGGGACCTGAGCAGTCAGCCCTCTCCACTCTCTCAGCCCTGATGCCGCCCACTGTCATCTTCCTGCGGGCCCCCTTGCTGGCTCTCCAGTCTGCTCCAGCCCCATACATTCTTCTTAACGCAGCCTTTGAAAATACGAGTCCGGACAAAACCCAATGTCTTCTCATCTGAGTCAGCAAAGAGCCCAAGTCCTTACTGAAGCTGGGCATGATGGTACAGACCTGTAATTCCAGGACTCAGGAGGCCGAGGCAGGATGATTGCCAGGAGTTTCAGGCTACCCTTGGCTACATAGTGAGTTCAAGGCCAGACTGGGCTACATGTGAGATTAACAATAAAAAAATCCTTCCTGAGTCCTGGTCTCTAGGTTGTGCCCCTGCAGTATCATGGACCCCAGCTCGCCAGCCTGGCTGTGCCCTCCACCCTGCGCGCACCCTCAGTGGGGCTGGCCCTGTCCTCCCTCTCAGCCCGGCCTTCCCAGCTCTGTCTGCCCTCAGCAGTCAGCACCGCTAGTGTCCTGTATGTTCCGTTGTTAGTTCATTCATCTCCTCCCACTAGAATGTAAGTTCTAGCAGCGCAGGTATTCAGTGAACACCTGCCTGGGAGTGCACAAGGTAAACTGCTACTACCGTGTCATTCAGAGGGAGGCTGTGTGGACTTAGGGCTAGGGCTGATCACACCGTGAAGTGGCCATGTGCCCAGCCCCTTACATAGCTTAGGGCTGCTGTGGGCAACTTCCAGAAATTTCATGTAAAAGGAGTGAGTCAGTTGGGCATGGCAGCACATGCCTGTAATCCAGCACTTGGGAAGCTGAGGCAGGAGGATCCCCAATTAAAGGCAGCCTGGGCTACATAGTGGGACTGTCTCAAATAAATAACACAACAAACACAAAGAATACCTAGCCTTCAACTGAAAGAAGGGTGAGGTTTTGGGAATCAAGGGCAGGTGGCAGAGACTTGCTGGGAAAGCCTCACTGGTGTCTTCTAAGAGCACCCTGTCCATTTCCATCCTGCCCTCTTCGTGCTTCCCTCTCTTGCTGTTCTCCAGTCTGGCCTTTCCCAGAAGGCCTGTTCCTTGTGTCCACCAACTTCTCCCCATGGCCCTCTCTGATCACACAGTGAAAGCCTCTGTCCTGTATAACATGTGTTTTGGGGGGTGGTTTGAGACAGGGTCTCTCTATGTAGCCCAGGCCAGCCTCGAACTTGAGGCGATCCTCCTGCCTCAGCCTCCCGAGTGCTGGGATCACAGGCATGCACCACCACACCTGAATGTCCTCCTCCTTTCCACTTCCTTCTTCCAGGGCACACGGCCTCCACCTCCGCTACTCACTGGCCCAGATGCCAGTCATTTTCGCCTTAGCCAAACCTATAGGCCACTCCCCTGTCCTTATCTTACGCTCCAGCTGCCCCAACTGCTCCAGCTGCCGTCACAGAGCGTGCCCTAGAGGAGAGTAGCGAAAAGAAACAGCAGTGGAGAGCACTTTCCAAGAGACTGCAAAGTGATAAGAATGGCATTTGTCAGAGGCGCCTCCCCGGCTCCCCTTTTGTCCGTGGTGGGCGGGTGAGGCTGGGCGCTGCTGTGTCCCTCCATGGCCCCAGTCCCTGCACCTGCAGTGCTGCCGTACTATCCTGCTGGGAGGATGCAGTGGGGAGCCCTCTCCATCACACATCGCCTTCCTCGGTTTCAGCCCCATCGAGCTCTTGTCCGTTTCCTCTTCCTGCTTCATTTTCACTCTGTAATCTGGTGCCCACAGTATTTGTGCAAAATGTTAACAGTCACCAACGGTGAGGCTGCTGGAGTTGAACCCTGGGCAGGCGGTGCAGGTGCTGCACGTGGGTGGGACAGAGCCTGGCTGGAGTCCGGGCCCTCAGCACCCGGACCTGCTCCTCCTGGGCCTGTTCCCTCCTCCTTGGACAACCGAAGGCCATCCAGACTGCTCCCCTGAACCCTTCAGTGAGTCAAAGCCCAGACTTGTTCCTGGCCACAGCTCCGTGCCAGTGGATACTCTTTCCCTTCTCCTTGTTCCCCAGCTCAAGGGACCCACAGAACACACAGCAGGGAAGAGCCAGGTGGTCTTGGTCAGTCCCTCCCTCCTGAGCAGGGTCACAGAGGGTTCCTGGGGACGCAGCCCAGGGATCTGTGGTGGAGGCCAACCTGGGGAGCCCCTGCAGCGTCTCCTGGGGCCTGAGGAAGCTTTGGCCTGGACGGTGCCCAAGGTGGCTTCAAGGACAGGACAAAAGTTGCTGTGAAGCTGTTGTTTAAACATCGAAGCAAGGATGTAGGAAATCTCAGCCCTTTCCTCAGACTCAGGATTCTGTCCACAAACAGCGCTGGGGAAATGATCTGAATGTGCACTGCAGACTTGAGTGTCAGACACAATAAGTCTTTGATGATTAAAGGCCTTCACCGGCAGGCAGGCAGCCTGACACTGAAAGTTAGCAGTGGTGTAATTTTAATGCCCCTTACTCTTGTTTTGGACTTTGTCAACATCCTAGTCTTCAAAGGCTGTTATAAGCTGTGTATTTGGGGTTTTTTGTTTTTTGTGGGGTTTTTGGTATCAGGGATCAAACTCAGGACCTCACGCTTGCCAGGTGGGTGCTGTGGTGCTGAGCTACATTCCCGGCCCTAAGCTGTATATTTTGGTATTTCATCCAGGTAACTTAATATTTAAGAACAGATAAATATGCCTGTCTTTTTCCTTCTCTATAATTTATATGGTATCTCTTTGTAATACTGTAAATCTTGGTACCCATAAGAAAAAGCAATTATAAGCTCTTTAGCCAAAAAACACAGACTGGAAGTTACATAATAATTATAAAGTTGGATGTGTTTTTGGTGTTTTAAAACAGGAGTTAGGGTATATTTTAGACATGGAAATAATCTTAAAGATATTTTCTGTGTATAGGTATATTAAGAAATAGCCAAGCTAGTGGCAAATGTTCCAGCATCCCTTACAACCAAGATATGGTAAGGAGAGGGGAGAACAGGACAGTGATTGTTGAACCAGTTCTCTGGGACTCAACTGAGAACAAAATTGAGTACTTCCTGTCACATACCAAGTTGCCCAGTTTTATTTGGAAGGTCTGGCTATTCTGCATGGCAGTGCATTCCTGCATTTTTTGCCTCTTCTTGGATTGAGTTATGGCAGTTCAGCCACCTAGACTGAATTTTCAATTTCAAAACATGATTCTGAACTCTTGGCTGTAAATTCCAGGACTCAGAAGGCTGAGGCAGGAGGCTTATGGTGAGTTCAAGCCCAGCCTGGGCTATATAGTGAGTTCAAGGCCAGCCTGAACTACATAGTGAGAACCCATCTCAACTCCCACTCCCCAAAAAAGAAAAAGGTAGAGGATTCA